TTCCGGTATCAGAGATCGATGCAGCAGCAGCTACCGACTACATCAACCGTCTCAAAGGTGAACTGAAAACTGTGGACATTGATCTTCGTGATGCAAAAAGACGGATTAGTGCGGCCAAGCCCAAGAAACCTAAAAAGGTTGAGGAGGAGTTTGAATCGGAGCAATCTGAATCCGAGTAGGGTCCTGATCGTTGTCTTGCCCAGCCTGGGGGTGTTGAAAGGAAAGCCTACACTGAGTGCACAACAGTCCATCAATATACTTATCACATTGATTCCCCTGTTGAGTAATCATGTATTGTCCCAGAGCAAAGTGGCATGGACCATGTCAGTTTTGGTGTCCAGTGCAAGCTCCACCAAATGTATGTGTGTGTCACACCTTTCTGTGTTTTCATGTTCCTAACCACAAGAACCTTTCACAGTAGGGGGTCACCAGCTTTTGTTCGTGTCAGTCAAAGCATTCCGCCCGTTCCCTTGGAGCCAATCAAGTGGCTGGACACTTGTGATCTCTTTTGCAGCCTGGCGTTGCATCGTGGATGGTGCTGTATGATCAGCAGTGACCACGAAGTGGTGTTAATTTGATCGACTGGGGGTGAGGCCAAGAAGGCCTTCTGAAGTGAAAAGATTCAGAAGAAACGGATCTTAGAAAACGCATGAAAACGCATTGATGTGCAATATGACTCTTACAAACACAGGAATGCATGTCTTCGTGGATATGCTATGTATATACACTCGTAGTGCCATATCTTTCAATGGGTGTCCAACATGCATTCAATCAACAGGTTGAACATCCAATGTCCCCTTGATCACTGATCATGAACATCGATATAGTAACACCGAACCATGAACTGCAAATATATCGACAAAACAGGTGTAACCCTATAAAGCTGGTCCAGGTTGAAATGGCTGAGATCCTGAGATCTTTAAATCTTATGTTGTAACAAATCTTCGAACACCAAACATCACCAAATAGTTTACCTGGATGTTGATGTTCCTTCCGCCTGGGCCACCGGAATGGACCTGGTGGAGGAGTTCCTTGAATTGACAAGAACAGTATCTTGACTGAGTAGATCAAGCTTGTCATGATCTTTTCTCAGTTCGCTGTTCTGCATTGATGAGTTCAAAAGTGTGGGCAAGGTGAGTGTGACGACAATAGTGAGCCTTTTTGTGATTCTCCGAAAGCGGATTCCTGGTAGATGCCTACCGATGCACAGTTGCATATAACAGATTGGGAATCTTTGACAAGTTTGTCTGTCCTGTTCATTCTTTGCCCCACTACAGGAGAAACTTGCGAAACTTGGTGGACCTTCTTGGAGACGATGAGGAAAAGAATTATGCTCGTACGTTCTGGCGGTGGCTTGACAAGCAACCCTGGAGAAGAATGCTTCCACTGCCATTGGAGCACCTTATCTTGCAGATTCGATTCTTGTTTCATGCAAGCCGATTGACTTGCTGGCATGATTGCTGCTCAATTGCCCAGGATCCCAGTTCTTTTGCAAGATATGGCACGCGCACAGCCAGTTTATCTATCATCATGGCATGTATTCCTTCCGAGCGATGTGAACCTTGTTTGTTGGAACTTGTTTGTTGGCTTTGGGGGGGGTCCAACTGGCCAAATTGAAATTTGGTGGGTTCGGTTTGTTGCATATCAATCTGATCTGCTCAAGAATCTGAGGATTTCATCTGTATATCACTACAGCTTCGACCTCTTCAAGGAAAAGCTTGTTGGCCCAGATGGTGTGCCTTGGTCATCCTTTCGAACACACATGTGTGCAGTGTTCAGTGCTTCAAGATTGTTCAATGCAATCCAAGTAAGGCTATCAGTGAGTTTTGGAATTCCCACAAAGGGACAGAGTGGTATCAATGCCATCCAGTGCTCAATGACCCTGCTTCTGGGCTTGTATATCGTAAGCTGTTGAATACGCATCCCCTGAAAAACTTCGTAGATGTTTGGAACCCAGGAGGTGAATTTAGATATGGTGATCCCCATTGCCGTCCACGGGGACGAAGCTGATTCGCATCGGAGGAGGTCATTTTCGATCTTGACATTTTACAGCCTCACAACAAGTGGGACCATTTTTGAGAATAAATTCCTCACGTACTGTCTGGACAACAGTGTCGCCACAGAAACTACAGCCTCTACACTGGAGCGCTGGGTTGCTCATAGCTTGTCAGAACTACAAGAGGGATTCTTTAGCCAAGTTGACCCTTGGGGGCAGGACTTCCCAAGGAAGAATCGAAGTGGCCCAATTTGCGATGGCTGGAAGTTCATCGTCGCTATGGTGAAGGGGGACGAGAAATGGCACCAAAGAGCTTTTCGGACAACAAAGTCTTGGGTAAGTCGTGATCCTTGCATCCATTGTGGGGCATCAAGCGCGGCAAATAGTGGTGAGCTGCTCTACACCAGCTTTGGCCCCCTTGCTGGGCACAGATCCACCTTGAGAAGCACCACCACATTTGTTTCAGAAGTTTGCCAAATGCAAGTATGGACAACCATCCCAGGTTTCAACCTTTCGATGGTATGCTACGACTGGCTTCACGTGACTGACTTATGCATTGTGCCTGAGTGCGGGGCTTCAGCATTGAAGCTTGCTTTAACAGGAGTTTGGACAGTGACTTGCATGCATGTGGATTTGTTTTGATGGGGCTCGATGTGAGGATGGTACTCATATCTCATCGTTCCAATGTCTTTGGATCGGGGAGTCAAGATGAGAAACTTCGTCGGGCCTTTGTGATGTTCTCGAAGGCCTGTCGGGAATGTCGGATCAGTGCCCTGGTGTCATCCTTGTGTATAGTTGCGGTACACTTGTTGCTCACACCTTTGCACATTGTTGATTTTCCTGAACTGAGGAAACAAAGGGCAATTTTTCTCCGTGAAGCTTTGCTGTGATCGATCAAACCATTGAAATTATTAACGTGTTTTGTTTGTAGTTCTGGTTTTGTCAGTCCTGACCGAATCTCAGGAAAAACCTTTACCCAAATGGCCCAAGTTCTTATCCAACTTTTGCTCAGAAACATATGAATGGATCTGATGCTTGGCTTAGCTTTTGGGATATGCTCAACAGCAGGCATGTCACACGCAGCAAATCACATAAGGAATGTGTTGTGCTAGCCTGGTGGCTGCATCAATTGACATTGAAGCTGGCGGATGAATACCCGGAGGATGGAAACATGCAGTAACTTAGTTGATGTTGTACTTCACTTTTGGATTCAGCTTAGACTATCTCCCTGACTGAGGCTGATGGCCGCAGTCTTCCTCAATCTTGTTCTGATGAGAAGTGCATTGAGCAAATCAAACAATCCTGGACGGTTCACGACATTGACGCAAAGCAACCTGGACCAGTTGCAGCGATCTGCATATCTATTCCGAGCAGCCCACAACAGCAACTAGGCCTTATACTGAAGGTCAATCTGTTAATCCTGAGACATGTTGCCTGGATCTCGTTTGATTCCAGGCCTTGCGAATGATGCCATGGAAAGTGGCAAACTATTGTGGAAACTCCGCCCGAAATACCACAAGTTCCTTGGTTGATGTTGTGTTTTGTGCCCTGGTGTGTCTTCAAGTTGTGTGAGCCTGATGTGTATTTATTTAAGGCTCGACCATATAGTATGGGATCAAGCACCTCAGATCTCGCCTCTCCATGCCTCATGCTACATGGACGAGGACGGCATGGGCCAGATTAAGAGGCTGGCTGCACAGGCCAATCCAGTTTCCCTGGGGTACACTGTGCTCCAGCGCTATAGCGCCTATACGTGTACAAAGTGGTTGCGCCAACTGGCGGGTTGATGATAAAGAAAACTCCTCCATCAAAGATATCACCACTTGAATCTGCAGTTGGTTCAATCATGCCGGGTCGACCTCCTCCAGCTTCTGCGCAAAAAGGTGGCAAAGGCCGCGTGTGCTCTGCTGGTGGGTGGGAAAGATTTGAGGAAAGCCTTAAACTCCTTAAACATCTTAAGTCATCATAAATCCATGTGTGAAAGTTATAGCATCCATGGTTTTCCTCACATCTGGGGACAGTGGGTCTCAACAAAGTACACATGTGTGGAAACACCCTCCAACAGGTCAACACTGGTACCTTTGGGGTATGTGGTTACTAAGATTTTTAAGAGGCTTCTACAGGCAGCCTCTTAAGGAACCCATTTTCAAAAAACCAGTAGTGACCTGTTGGAGGGTGCTGGTATATTTACTCGTTGGATTCAAACATGTTTATTTGCAGTATTTTTGATAAAAGTTGTAAAATCTAATTTGGGAACCCATGGGAACCCCAATGATGTTGCTTTGATTTCCAGTGATCAGCAGTGATCGGCAAGTCAGCTGTGCGCTCCCTAGGCGTTCCACATGTCGAACAGGAACCGCTTCTGGTGAACATGATTTCCAGACTCTTCAAAGTGACCCTTTTCATCCCTGGGTTCGAGGTTACTTAGGCCTGGGCTTGAGGTCACTTAGAGACTCCAAAGAGGTCACGAACTGAAGAAGCTGGAAAACAATGGAAAACAGACTTTGGTGAACATGAATGAATTAGATGTTCGTTACCATGGCCACTGTGGAATAAGCGTTTCAGATCTACAAAATGAGGCGACATGACCTCACCGTCACCATGAAAATGCACTTTGGTGAACATGAATGAATTAGTTATTCTGCGGCCACCACCTGGCAGTATGTGAAAGGATTTGTTAGATGAAGAATTCAGCGGGATTCCTCCTCACTGAAGAAACTTTTGCATCCAATAGGGCCTATTCCACCAAGTGGCAGCAGAAAGTTTCTTGTGACTTGGGGGGTCTAACTTCCTTCGCACTGCGTGTCTCCTTTGGAAATGAATATAGAGACAAGTACCAAAAGAAGCAGCGCTACAAAGAACACCTTTTTTGGCCCCATCCAAAGAGGACCGTCGATTCTTCCCCCAAAAGAGGCGGTAGAGCCGGGCGCCAGAGGCATCCAGAGGCCCTGTGCAGCAGCTTTGCCCACGCACCACCATCCGGCCGAACAGCGATGCGTCGGAGGCTCGATTCCACAGCAGAACGCCTTCCAGCAACAAACGGCCATCAACTCTTTGCTGCTTGGACGGGGAGCCGTTTGGGGTTTGGGGGTCAGGAATAGTCAAGGCGGAAGGGTGAGTGAAAGATAGAGACTCATAGTGACACAAAGCAACAAAATGAAGAGTCGAACCTGTTTTGTGGTGCTGTTTGTTTACTTTTCTATTCTTTTCCAGGTCGCCTAGGAGGTCTCAAAACGTTTCTTCCTTGGCAAACTCACCATGTAAAACAGTCATGTTTGGTGGGGCAATTGAATTTGTCGCTCGGTTTTGTGGTAGGGCCACCGAAAAGCCATCGAAATCCAGATTCCCTTTGGTTTGTAGCTCACCAGATGACCAGACTAATGACCGTTCACACAAAATGATGAAAGCACTGGAATTGGTCCTTGCACATCAGTCCAAGCGTAGGATGAATTTGACATGATTGACTAACCATGTGAAATGACCCAGGAAGTACCTGGGTCACCTGAAAGACCTGTTGTTTGCCACACGAACGGTGACATCCAAGCGAGTTCGGCGCGTTCGTGGAGTCGCACAGTTCGGTTCTCGTCCGGCCGTTAAGCCCTGAAGTTCCGAAGATCTCCGGCGGAGTGAGTGAGTACCCAGACACTTGGGACTGCCATAGATGCCTACATTGACCCCTCAAACTGTTGGCAAAGATACAAGTCCAGTCTGACCCAGTAAAACCTGGTCTTTGGCCTCAGTAAGTATTGGTTTTGTATGACCATCTCCAGTCAAATGAGGTCTTTGACTTGTAGGGATTATATATACATGGAGTGTCTGGGGTAGGAAGCCTCGATCCGAGACTGTAGACCCGTTGAGAGGCATGTTCGGAAGGTCCTTCCACAGACGTTTTAGTGGTCCCCTATCACATAGATGACCGGATGGCACGGTTGAACAAATGACATTTTCTATGTGGAGATCTTCGAACTATCTATTTGGGGGTCTGTATAACCATGTGAACTTGAGAAACTTGGATCCACTTCCTCCCAGTGCCACTTTCTGGAAAGTTCTGAGGTCTGTGTACGCCTCCTACTGTTCCGTGTTCCTCTCGGTGGTTCCTCCCTGCAGCGCGGCGTCTTTGAAGACCGGCGCTCGTGGTTGACCAAGTTCCCTGTGGCAAAGGTATCGTTTGTCTAAAACTTCACGAAGGTAGTCATGTGGTCATATCGAGCGTAGTTCATCATGTTGGTTCTCTTGGTTATGTGTTTGTATTTTAAATTAGCCTAACATGTCCTTCTATTTGGATGCTTCCTTCACTCAAATAGCCTGCTGGACATCGCCTGCGGGCCACATCTTTGGGTGCAGAACTTTTGGACCCAAGCTATACCCAAACACTCCATGTCATATTTACCGTCTCAGGCCTGGGGTGGTTGACTTGGGGTTTGTATGGAGCATATGCCAGTCCCAGACTCGTGTCCGGGCGCATCGTGACGTCGTCTCGGGAGCGAGGGGTTCGCACTTGCCATCACTTCCCACTCCAACGACCTGGAGGCGCCTCGAAAACGATAACTCTTCTGATTCAGCAAATATGTCCACAAACAGTGCGGGCACACGGAGGGGTTCTTACGGTAGTGGAAAAGCAGCTGTTGTTTAGACTTGGGAGAGAAACCAACGGGCTCAGTGCTATAGCGGTGACCGCCCGACCAAAACGGTAGGCTTTTGGTTTGTGGTTTCGACGGTCGACGTCCCAAACGGACCGGCGCCTGGTCACTCCAGCGGACTCTGCGAGGGACGAAGCGTACGAGACACGGAGAAGCGTACCGTACGCAGCCAATGGCTCAACAAGCCATCAATTCCCTATAGGTCTCCAAGTAATTTACCTTAAGTTGTTCGAAAGGTCGGACTGGGATGGACTGGGGAGGGTCCAGTCAGGACCTGTGTTTCGCAAGCTACGACTAGAGCCCTTGTGAATGCACATGTTTCTTCGTTGGTTTCCAAAAGGTCCTATTCAATTTCAGACCGCTATATATATATAGTTTGCTTAGCTTTGTTTGCCAAGAATCATCACTGTCCAGTTGTGTTTAGTTTCCGCCTAGTGACCTCGATGTGTAGACTAGTCCTCAGAGGTCACTGTAAAAGACAAAAGCCAACAACACTCACTCGTGTGTCCTACGTGTGCCTGGTTTTGACAAGCAGATCACCAGACGGACTGCCTGGCCGACGTCTTCCTTGTGTCTCTTCCTCGTAGACGCACGTCGCGCGTACAAAGACGTGCTTGTACGACGCGAGACAATGATCATCAAGTCTTGAGGACCGTACCTGTCGACCTGACCGATGGATCTCTCCTCAGGTAAACATGCCGATAGTGGACATGATGTGGATATCCACTCCTACTGCTCTCGAGCGCCTTGGAGCCAATTCAGCGCCGACTTGGAGCGCCTTGACATGTTTTCAAAGGGTAACATGGAGTGCAGATTTATTCCATCTATATGGATGCGGACTGCAGGTGCACTCTACACAAGACAATACTCAGCCAAAACAACGTTTGTGTTGTATTTTTTGCGGCGTACGTTCCTGTTCTCCAACGAGACATATATAAAGAATCACTCCTGCCTTCACGAGTGGAGAAAAACCAACTGCACTGCGGCGCATCGAACGACCAACTGCGCCGTTGCAGCTCTCCGCACTTAAGGCCTGGTGTCGACTGGAGAAGTTGAGCTATGCCACTTGCTCCTGGGAAGAAGAGCGCTTGGCTTTCCTTTGTACGGAGGAGAGCGGGGAAAATCACGGCCCAGAAGAGGAGGCGGCAGTTGTTGCAAGGCGCCCTGAAGAGGGCAAGAGAGAAACAATAAGTTATAACATACATCAAGAACTGGAGACCTTAAATTCTCAGCGACTGTACACATTCCTTAGATACCTTTATAAGTATCTCGTCTCTTAATGTTTGACATCAAACTAGAAGAAATTGTTTGGAGGATAAATTTATTGTCCGTAATTTTGTTCCTCACTTCTGCCTCGCTATTCGGCATGCAGGTCCTTTGGCATCATCAAAGGTAGATCTGATGGCTCCTCCAAGAGTATACTGTAAATTAGAGTCATTAGAGTGTAGGAGATCGAAACATATTGAAACATTCGATATGATATGATGTTTCATATCTGTTCATTCTTGACGTGGGAATCCTTGTTCATGTTTAATCCTCTGAGTCGACATGGCCATTCCCAAGTGCAAGGCAGAAGCTGACACTACCGACCTATATGTATAACCATGGAAAATGGATGACCATGGATTGTTCGAAGACCAAATTCCCTTGAACAGGGGCAATGTTGCAATGTTCATCCATGTTCCATGTCTATGTTAATGACAAAACTGTAGTCAGAGCAATCAGGTTCACACCCAGCACCACCAATGCCATGTAAATATAACAAAGACTAACATGTTATAACCTATATATATAACCCAACCAATTTAGCTTTTCAAGGTGGATGGTGCTTGCCGGCAGACAGAGCTTGATTGCCGCAGGAAGGCATCAGCAATGACTGGGCTGGGGTCTTCAACGACGAGTCCGTGCTGGATGTCACGTGGCAGGGAGAAAGAAACATGCGGAACCGCATAAGCCATTCGGTTTTGCTGCTGCTTGCTGTTGCTGGTGTGTGTTTGCAGCTAGATGGACACTCGGTTGGTTTTCGACTCTGTAGGTGAAAGGAAAGTAGATTGGATTGAGCATGTGGCTGCGATCCACACGCCCACACTAGTGGTGTCGGATCGATCGCTCCTACCTTCTTTCGGTTGTTCCTTCCGAAGCAATGGTCGGTCCCAATTCCCCGGTGTGCGGTCCGACTGGGTTTTGCGGTGGCCTCTATGGTGATTTGATGTTCCAGAACTGGGTAAATCCACTTCTGGGAATCTGGGAGACCCAGTTCAGCATGCCAGCTGCCATTGAACCAGTAGTACCGCTTCTTCCAGAGGGCCTAAGGCTGGTGCGAGGACAAAACCACCGATCTTCGCTTCGCCAGCTCCCGGTGGGAACCCAAAAGCCGAACTCACTGAGAGGAAACGATGGAGGCCGAAACGACGACGAGTTCCGTCCCTGTTTTTTGTTGTATACGCGGATATCCGGTCGGTTGGGAGGATAGGGAATCAATGGGGTGAAAGCCAGATTTGGGAAACCATGGAAACATGTTGATCTTTCTTTGGCGGCTTCTGGTGTTTTTTCTCCAGACTTTGGTGCTGTTGTTCTTGTTTTTCTCCCTGAGGATCCAGATGTTGTCGATGAGCCATTTTCTTGTACCACCTTTATAATATGATGACCTGGTATCTCATCAAACCCGGAAGAAAACAAACAGTATAATGCACTTGGGCTCAGAGTGGGATTTGTTTGGTCCTCGCTAAGGCTCATTGCACCTCGGTTTTTTCATATCGATCCGCCAAGGGGGATCGCTTCAGATTTTGACGATCAAACTGAAAGAACGTTTAAGACACAAGACTCGTTTGACCTTGTTTTACTCATCTCTCTCTGTATATATATGCTCTTTGCTTGTTGCCTCTCATCATCTCAACCAATGGATCTTTCTTTTTGACACAACAATACCATGCACCATGGGATGTCCTACAAACCCTCCCCCTTCAACTTGAAATGGGAAGGAAAGTGAATGGGACAAGGGTTCAAGGCAAGGGGTGCTTCTTGGAACTGAACTTGCTATGGATCCCCTGCCACTCTTTGAGAAAGGTGATTGCAGGCTCCTGAATGTATAGCCATGTATAGGCGATGTGACGATCCAGTCGTACCTGCCAGCTTCTTCAAAATGGCCTTTGGAGGGTCTCGAAGTCAAGTGATCCAGATCTCAAATCTCAAAGGATCTTTGAAGAACCAGCGAACAATGTTTTACTTTTAAACACATGACTGGATTGACCTCCCAAAGAGTTGGGCCCATTGCCCCACGTTCGCTGTTTTTATTGAACCGCCGAGAGTACTGAGCGCGGCAGCCAAGTAGCTGGCGCTCCGCTGAGGTGCTGGGTGGTCAGTTTAGCTGTTGCACCCGGAATCATCCCGACGACCGCCCCTGCGACAAGCAGAAGATCGTAGGCGGAAGAGCTATGTGGTTGGCCATGCGTGAGGTTTTGGGGCGAGCTAGATGTGGTTCGGCAGATCTGCCAGCTGAGTGTCTGATTCTTTGGGGGGCCTGATTGAGGGAATCGATAGCGCCTTACCATGACTTCGGCCATGCAAGGCCTCGAAGACCTTCATCTCCTCGTGTTTCCATGAGGGGTGAGACGGTGGTTTGTTCAAAAGGACATGTCAAGCTTCATACAAGAGTCAGAGGCTGCACTAAAGAAACTGACTTCATGATGTTCTTCAACTTTGTGATGATTGTTTCGTTCTCAACCCTGACCTTGGCTCGGTGTCTTAGGCAACTCAGGATAAAATTGTGCAATCTTTCAATGGATTCTCAGGTGATTTGTTGGCTTCGAAAACCATCTACTTCCCTCTCCACACCACACATCGCCCAGACGACTCCACGCCACACAACCCCCTGGTCAGGCGTGATGTTAGGCATTTTTTGGCGGATTCTGGCGACGAACCGCGATGCGCCACACCGGAAGCATGCTCGGACCTTGTTGCGGCTGGTGGAGAAGGAGAGGGGCGGAGACGGCAAGGTTCACGAAGCGTGTGGCGGGTGTTGACTGTTTAACTTTGGGGTGAGACTGAAAGAATCAATAAGACTTATACAGTAAGACTTTTGATTCTATCTCAACTCACCAAAGGGAATCGGTGTACCTGGCAAGGGGGTTATTACTTCCAGTGAGTTTTAATGAACAAAATCTATCTCAAAATGAGACTTAAAGTGCAACAATATGTAAACATATAAAATAAAATTTGTGCTTTACAGGACACTGTTCAGTTGATAGGCTCCTGCTAAAAGAGAACAGCAAACTTTGGTCAAGATTTTGAAGTTGGTTGCAAGTGGCTTCAGATAATTGCCCAAGTTTCCAGGTGATGTTTCTCGAAATTGATCGCAATGATGTTGAGGCTGTCTTGGAACAGCTGTTGATTGTTTTCCCTGTTCATGACTATACCCATGTAATGTAGTCAACAAACCTCAAACTAGTTCAAAGACATACTCTACTTTGAGAGTACTTGGCCCTCAAAATAGTACCTTTTTGTACTGACGCGCCATCTATTATGCAAACAACGCATAAATGCACTTTTTTCCCGTACGGACTCCGATCGGCTGAAAATTCATGAAAGACGGGGGTGGTGCTCAGGGGATAGTAGATGGCGCTGCTTTTTGGTGCGCATGTTTTGGCCCAAGTAACAAACATGCTCAATAGCAAGCTGGCACCAAACAAAGATCATGCCTTGGCCAATTCTATTGCTGCTGAGTTGTTCGTGCCTTTTTCACACTTGTTGTTTCTCTAGCCTTTCAACGCAACATCCACTCGGTTTCCTTTGCGGGCTGGCCATGGGGAAAAAGCCAGCAGACTTGAAGGACAGATTTGACGTTTTTCAAGATTTGTCAAGACTCCAATGTTGGAAGACAATAATGTGTCCAGTCTTCCCAGCAAGAGAAGTTCTGGGTACCAAGCAACGTATGCAGGTAGAGGCTCTTCCAGATTTTTCTCCTACGGAGCAACCATCTCATGTCGTTTTGCAAGCAGTGATTTGGCGTGGCAAAGCGCTGTTGACTGGCTTTGGGCGCAACATGAACAAGAAGTGGGTGAAGAGCAAGCAAAGGCACAGAAAGCCCGCCAGGAAGCAGAGTACGTATCTTGTCTATGTCTCGCCTATTGCGCCATCTAATGTGTTGACTTTCCTTGAAGACATTCTTTTTGCATCACCTTGTTTGCAGAAATCCTACTACAGTAGCCAACCTTTTTTTGAAACCCGTGTTCTCAGACATTGGCTTTTCTCTGAGGCCGATGCGTGCAAATGACCTCTGATGACGGCGCTGAAATCATTCCAATGATTTCCTATGCATGACTAGATTGAAACAGGGTACGACTGGTAGCGCATGGACTCTGAACACCCAGTAGACCAACCTTGGCATTACGTTGTCCTCATCCAGTCATCCAATTGACAGAAAGACTTGCCTTTTTAATTGTTTATCAGTTGCCAGTCCATGCCTGTACTGTGATAGATGGCGCACAGCCTTGCATGACATCAAGTGGACCACTGGTATTCCCCAGATCTCCAAAATGAGTGACTGGCGATTCTTTGGTCAACCCCTGGAGTCTGTCAACTGTCCTCCACTGCTCCCCAGAAAGCATTACCCTCGTGTTGTTTGTAGTTCCGTCATTTCGTGTGCCAGTGGTCGCAATACCTAAGCAAAGGTAGATGGCGCATTGACGTGTTCGCACCACTCAATCCTTGAGTATGATTCCTTCAAAGGCGCCACCGACCTTTTGAGCCCAAGGGGCAAAGACGCTACCAATGGCAATGGGGAAAAAAGAGCAGGAAGAGTTTCAAGCTGGGAGTGGTCATGACAGTCTTGGGAAGACAACACAAAGAGAGAGAGGTAGAGCGCACAGGTGAGCAAAGGAGTCAGCTTTTTCTCATGAGTCGGAGTGGAGAGTAGATGGCGCATTTTTTCTGCGACCTAATGGAATTTTAGCCTTGCATGGTGAAAAAACCTACCAATTGAGCCATCTTCCAAACATGGGAGCATCCATGTCCAGCAAGCCGGGGGGCCATCTATATTATATAGAACACATTGTGCCATGTACTCTCCAGATAGTGTATATAGTCACATAGTCTCATAGCCTCATGTGCACTCAAAGTGGCTCAAAGACTGTGCTCAAATTTGCTCAAAATTGCTCAGGGGCTTTGCTCAAATCTGCTCAAATTTGCTCAAAAATGCTCAAAGCTGCTCAAAATTGCTCAGAGACTTTGCTCAAATCTGCTCAAATTTGCTCAATGCTGCTCAAATTTGCTCAGATCTGCTCAACAATGCTCAAACATATGCTCACAATTGCTCAAAGATGTTCAGCTGCTCAAAATTGCTCAACATTGCTTATTTGTGCATAGAAACGCTGACAAAGAGCATTGATGTGCAACCACATGCATGTTTGAAGGTAGGTAACCACATGCATCGCCAAGTGAGATGGTGGTCCCATGTGGAGAGCCAATGTGGTGAAGGTAGGCAACGGGCAAATAGCAAAGATCTGTGGCACACAAAGGGAATGACTGCATGGGATGTGAAGGATGCGAATCATGTATATATATATATATTAGATTGTTTGTTTGTTTTTGTTTAATTGCTTGTTTATGGCTTGTGAAACAACTTTGATCAATATGTTGTGCAATCTGCTTGCAACCAACTCCAAAATCTTGACCAAAGTTTGCTCTTCTTTTTTGCAGGAGCCTTCAAGTGGATCAGCTACGAAGTTGACAGGGTAACCAAGAGTTCAGTTATCATGTGCATTCAACAGTTTATGCCAGCTGCCAGCTGTTGGCTTTTGTAGCGTCCAAACTTAAATCAGACTATCTTCATGACTTTGTACTCAATTTGTTTGGCAGCGTCATGGTCTTGTTCTGGTTAACTAGTGTTAAGAAGTCGCAATTGTTTTTTGTGTGCTTTTGTGTGTGTGTTTGCTTAAACTATATATGTTTTTGTGTTGTTTTATGTTGTTGTTTTTTATAGATTTACTCACCATTATGACATTGTATGGTTTTGTTGTTGACGTGCCAAACTATTGTGGAGAGATACTACCACTATCCGTGGTCTTGAATTCAGGCCCCATGTGACAAGAATTCAGGCCATGCTCCCATGCTCAGTTGGACATGTTCAGGTCTTTCTGACCGTGCTGGGGCGTTGAACGTATCCTCCTGGACCTTTACTGTGGCCAAATCCAAAGTCTGCGAGCTGATCAACCCGCGATGTCAAGAGGTTTTCAATCCAAATGCGGGGAGATGGTGGTGCAGCCGCCATGCAGTGGACCCAAATGATTCTCCCAATTCGTCTTAAACAAGACAAGTCGACAACCACGACAACCATCCTCCCCTATACAGACCCTAAGATTCCAAGACTGCCTATTAAGCAACGGTCTGTGAGGGTGTTGGCCGAAAATTTTTGCTGGATTGTTAAGCATATACAAACCATTTCTCGAACGCAGCTTGTTCCCAAGTATCAGAAAAGCGGAGGAACTTCCAGCCTCACACGTCTTGGCTTTACGACGTACAACGAAGAGGGGATTTCCCGTCGTCCCAACCTTCCTAATGCCGAGCAGACATATCAAATCATACAAACTATGCTCCAGACGATGCCACGACCCACGCTTCCACACAGAAATTGCCACGCCAGCCCTGTTACCACATAACAATGCACCAGCGTGGCCTGGGAGGCAGGAAGTAGATGCATCCAAGAAAGATTCCTTCCTGCAGCACGTGCGCTATGCTCTGTTTAAGAAAAAAGACTTTGATGATATCAAACATGCGGACCCTAATTAGGTTGCCGAATTGAGCCCAGATGCTCGCGAATTCACGTCCAGAAATCATTTTTCGTCTTCCGTCAGCCTTCGGCCCCTTCAGAATTGCTTGACTCACTACAACTGCTTTTGGCCTTACGGGCACCGTTGTGTTTCCGTTCTTGAGGACTTGACACCCGTCGCTCGTAGGCAGAGCTGTCGCTGTTGCGTTCGTGCCTAGCTGTTGCCCGTAGCTCGTAGTGGACATATTTCTCTTTGCCTCACGGATCGTGTCACTTTTCTTACCCCCACCCGTACCCCCTTTCCAAAGCCGGGAAGGGATGGCCGTGAGCGCGTGCGTTGATCGTCCGCAATCGGGGAGGTTTATGAATCAAGAGTCTACAGTCTACATGACTGGCTTGTAGTCCGACTTATCATTATTTGGAGGTTAGACAATTGCATGTTCCGAGGGCAAACCGTGGATGTTCACTCAGCGGGGTTCCTGAGAGGTTTCAATTCATTTGAATTCAGAATTCATTAATTCATTGGAACATGGAACACTACATTTATGTAAGGGGGCTCCTTGAAAGGTACAACATGACGGGAGTTGGTGGAGTGACTGAGTTGGTATTTCTATCGTGGGATGTATCAGAGTTTGTTCGATCACCATCGATCTTGATTTCATTTGTAAGAATGGTTGGTGCTTGGAGTGAGTAGGTGGCAGCCAAGACAACATTTAGATGAATTTAAAAGACAAAAAAAAATTGCCGCTTTCGGTGTCAGTTTTCAACGGTTCTTGTCGGGTGCTTTGTACTTTTGGTTAAGGGTCATGTTGGCTCGGTGTTTGGCCATGTTGGGTCTCACAGAGGTCATGTCTGGGACATGGACTACGGTTACCTGGAACCGGAATGTGGAACACCAACTGTTTGTAGAGCGATTTTTTTTTTCCAGAGGCCATGCTATCCACTTCCATGTCAGTTTCCAGACAGGTTTAGCTCGCGTGCGTTTCGCGTGCGTTTCTCAGCGGTTCTACCTGCCACCCGCCCTGCCACTACCTGCGCAGGACGAAGAAAAGTGCCCCGGCCGCTCAAGTTCACGGCGATGTTTGTTGGAACCAACAAAGCTGAATGTTCAGCATATCCCAACCAACAGCCCAAACTATTCCCTCATGTTGTTAGTCGATGCTCACGATCCCACATGTGAGGTCTGCAGATACAGATTTACCGCAAACAGTATTTCATCATTATACTGGTATGTTCATGTTTGGGATACTGGGGATGGACGGACAATAAACTACTATATTTTGGGGGTTCAACATGTCTTGAGCCATTGCCATTGCCAGGTGAAGGACTCTAACTGGGGAAAAAAAAGAAAAACAGTTGGGCAGCACCGCTTAGAGAAAGCTAGATGGTCGATTGATGGGCTACTTCTGGGGCAAGGGACCACCGGTCAAGGCGTCTTTGGGAAATTTGGTCTTTGGTGTTGGAGAGAAGCTGAGACCTGACTTCGCAAACACGAAGAGACGACAACTCGTCATGACAACTCAATGACAACCTCTTCTTTCCGTCAGTCAGGTCGACGGTCAATCTGATGACCTGTTTCAGAAAGCAATGATATTACCGCTGTACGACCATCCCCAGGCGATGTTTGGTTGTTTGCATGTTGACAGTGCTGCCCAGCTCGACAGCAGAGCGGTGTGTTTGGGGGTTGTTCACCCAGTCCATCAAGCGATACGTATACATATAATGATGCCGATCAATTCGGGAGCCACATAGGTATACCTTCGTTCCCATGGGAGGTGTTGTATAGTTCGGGTTTTGGCGAAAAAGCAACAACTTGCAGGTTGGGGACCATGCTTTTCAGGCCGTCTTCCTGTTTTGGACATAGGATGGATGGGTCGTGAAAAGAACCTCAGCCGAGAAACACAAGCCCGTAGACAGAACCAAAATCATTGCCCAGGCATGCAACCCTTTCAACAGAGTAAGAACCCCATACAGGTAAACCATGGTAAACCTGTTTGGGGAAAAACCGGTCATGTCGCCAGCCCCGCATGGATCGAGCCTCGCGGGGCGGTCGAGCCCCGGTGGGTCTGAATGGTATTGGAACCGACGGACTGGTCGTACAATAGAAAATTGATGAAAATGGCACATCACTCTATGACATACTATTATGTTTATGAATGGTATATGACCCAATGACAACAGGTAGTAAAACAGGTATACATACGCATTTTCCATCCCTTCTCGGGTAGAGACGCTCCATCTCCCACTCCATCTCCATATCGACCGGTGAGTCGTCGCTCGCATCGACCGGTGAGTCGTCAGGTACTTCCCCAAGACCGCGTCGTACCGCACGGAACTGATGGAGCCACGGCCCATCGAGCTGTTCGATGGCTTCCTGCCCATCTTGAAGGACGATATCAAACGAGAAGAACGGGGCTATAAGGGGGGTTATAGGGTTATAGAGAGATATACAGAGATAGGATATAGATAGGAGATAGGTTATAGGGGGGTTATAGGAGCAAGCTAGCCTCAGCTAGCTGGAGTTGCTCGAAGGCGTTAGCCGGCTGGAGTCTAAATGATGGGGTGGACGTCGCCTCGGAAACCCAACATATTTGATTAATAAGGGGGTTATTGGGTTATAGGGAGATATATATATAGATAGGATTTGCTCCGTCCCTCAAAAGATCTTGCAACAAAAAAGCCCTTGAAGTGATCCAAACAGGGTTCTGAGCCCCCTGGATTCAGCATTCATGGGAATTTCCCAGTGGGTTTGTTCGCCCACGCATAGGCGCACATGATGTGAGTGGATTCGAATCCAACAGACGTGTCATAGAGATGTTGCTGGAATCAGAAGTTGGAAAACTATTTCCACGACTCAGAACTTCAGCCTGCAACCTCATTTTACAAACTGGTTGTGGGTCATGGCACCAGGAGTCTTTGGTTGACCTACCGACGTCCGTTCTTTTTCACTACATGGTTGAGGTCTCCAAGCTTGGACCCATCCACTCTGCTCAAAAAGGACCCAAGGCTTGATGTCCAGCTATTCACGACCTGCTGAAACGACCTGTTGTATCGGTATGGCTCAAAAACAACGAACTCCCGAACTCCTGTCCAACATCGGTCACACTTGGTTTTCCTTGGCGTGTTGGCGTCTCAGTTCCTGGGTGGACCGTCCTGTTCCCGATCGGGTTCAGCTGCAGACACTCGGTTTACTCACCCAGTTCACATTCCCAACAAACAAAACAGCTTCAAATACCGGTAAAGGACTATCTATATAGCTATATAGTTTTACACAAATCATTTTGTCAATATCTACATAATATAATAATACTATACAATACAGACATACTACCAGGATCCCTCAGACAAGTCACCGATTAAGAGCTGCAACTCGGCCCCAACTCTCCCTGAAGAGGCAGTGAGGGTGCTGGTATGAGATGTCGACGTTGAGTCCCCCAGCCTAGCGGTCCAGCCTAGCGGCTCCAGGAGATGTTCTTGGAAGACTCCGCAGCGGTCCAGGAGGAGCGTGTCAATGTACCAGGCGCGGGTGGGGGAGGAGCGGCCGGTCAGAAGTGGCTGCTTGGAGTTGTTTGAAGGCGGATTGCCAATGGGGTGAAGTTGGAGATGCTTTTGCGATGGAAGCGGAGGGACCTGGGACCTGGAAGTTTCTGCTAAGGTCCAAGCAAGCGGGAATTGAAACTGCCTCACTAACTGGTTTGACATGCATCTAAATCTAACCTTCCAATAGTAACAAATTGAACTTACCACGATAACCTGTCAAAGTCCTGGATTGCTACTTTCACGCATTATTTAATCAACAACAACATCAGCAACAGCAGCAACAACAACAACAACTACTACTGCTACTATTACGACGACGACGACGACTACTACTACTACTAGTACTACCCACCTCTGGAGATGAGCATTTGGCATAATTTGTCTCTCCATGCTGCCAAAGGCTAGCAATTTGATATATCCAATATTCAGCCATATTCAGCCAAAATATATCCACCACCTCTCTCCACCATTTTTGACATAATATGTCGGTATTAATTTTTGCTCTGATCTGCCAGAAGGTTTTTTGTCGCAATGCCTGGCCCTGGAACGATCCTGGGGAAAAAGCCGATCCTGGGGGTGAAGGGGTAACCATAACCCACACGATCCGTGGATGGAATAGAGTTACTTGCATGGATGGATTGATGATGTGCGGATGGGCCACCATTTTTTTCATCAGGCGTCTCCAGTGTTTCAAGTGCGGTGCTCAAAAACCACCTATGGTGGGGTCCTAAAGCAGCCTGTAAAGCCATCAGTCACTTGTCCTATTCAGTGACCTATCTAGTCACCCGAAGAAAGACAACATGGCTGTAGGTCAAAACTTGGAGCCCTAAATCCTGTTAGGTGGACTTCTCTGGTAGGCCACTCTGTTAATGTTTTTTTCACCATTTCACCAGGAACCCCACAGCCACATGAACTCTGTGAACATGTCATTTTTCACATCGAAATCCGGGAAACATATTGCTTTCTTTGTCTCACCGGCTTGGGTCCAAATGGGTGTTGGAATTGTTGGACCCGAGAAGCTTTTCGGCTGTCGACAGAACAGAAGCGACCGGTGCCGAAGGAACAGAACTTCCGCGTGGCTGGATCCAAACAATAAGGGCTCAAGAACGTCCCATATCCTCAGGTTCGGTGGGGACTGACCCCCCTGGCACCCACCCCTGGCCCATCTTCTAAGGAGGAGCCCTAGGGTATATAAGCTCTGTCTTTTCAATCCGTCGTCGTCAACATGACTCGTTCTTCTTCTCTTCGTCCAACATGACTCACCGTGTCAAGTGTCAGGAAGAGAATCAAACCGTTCAGTCAGCGGGTTTACAACAGATCAGGTATATATTATATATTATATATATAAGTTTATACCTACCAACACCTCTAAATAGGGAAAACAAAAGAACACAAAAAGACACACTCCCATTAAATACAAACCACCATCCTGAACTCCTGAGAAAACACACACAAAAACACAATAATTACAACATTGCTCCCGCCAACCCTGCAAAAAACCCTCCAAAAGCCAGCGATGTTGGGGTCATTGTCGCCTTTTCAAGCCCTTCCGTCTTCCGTTTAGCCCGTCCTCAGCCTGGACGGAGGGTCCCGGGAGGTGTGAGTGATCCTTGGCTGACCTGCTCCATTTCCTTGGGCCCCTTGCCCGACGAGGACCCTTTGGCGCCTCGATGCATGCATTCGGAGAGAATAGGATCCGTGAGATCCGCACACGATCACGGCAGCCGGAGGAAGAGATGGGTGTTGGTGAGTTTTATGGGGCTGTGTCATGATTGTTGAATCGCTGTTGCTAGTGGTGAGTATACTAGTTGTTGGGTACCCAGCGGGAAGCCCGCACCAGTTTAACCTGTTCCTTACGCTAATGCACCAACCCGTCCTTTGGAGTTGCTGGGGCACCTATACTAGGTCGTCCTGATGTTTTTGTTCATGTTTAATTAGCTTCCCTGCGGAGGGACGAGTGCTGCACTCCGCCGGCAGCGGGCCGTGAGTGCTTGGTTTCAGAGATCTCAAGCTTGGGTGAACACGGAGGGCGCATGAGAACTCTTCCTTCAATATTGATGGGGTGTCCAAGCTCTCTCATGGACATTTCAGACTTTTCAGTGTTTACGCGTGTTTACCTTGATGACCTGATTTTTGTGTGTTGATTGGCCATGGGCATCCAGTTACCACTATAGCTGGTAACCAGTGGTTCCAAAGACTAAAACCATAGACCTAGAAACCCTGGTTCCTTATATAGTGGTAACTGGGATGCACTGGATAGTGTTTGTGTTGACCTGGCCCTTCTTTGATTGAACATGGTTTTGGCATGTTCTGGCCCTCCATCGCTTCGACCAAGGCTTCCAGAAACACGCAGGAGAGGTGGATCACGCCGAGGGGATGCCGAGAGTGACTCGTGACTTTCCGAGGAAGCACCAAAGCAGTAGAAAGTCAGCACCTGTTTTGTATAGACCTTATAGGGATCCAGTCGTACCTTCCTTGGATTCCGTACGACTCTACCCGACAATGGCACCTACATGGAGGAATCACATTGGCATGCAGCCAATCTCAAGATGTAAGCTCACGGCTGCCCACTGGGAAAGGATCATTTGGAGACGGTTAACGGCAGTCGTAAGTTGCCCGCTCTCAGAGCACCGACTTGACTCGCTTCCAACAAATTGCTTCAAGCAGAGAGCATGCGGAGCATGGCCCTGGACAGCCTGGATGTGTTAAAATGACATGGAGCAGTGACAAGGAATTTGAACACTCCACGAGACTTGTGTGTTTTTGCAAGCTCAATGGATTTCAGTACGGCTCCAGTGATTCCAAAGACTCACGTTGACCCAGCTTGGGATTCATCGAACCGCAGTGCAAACGAAGGCCGTTTGTTTTTGGTGAAAGCAATCTGAAGAGCTCAACTGTGCCAGTTTGAGCACCGCGGATCTGACCAGTCGCTTCTGGGGAAGCGACGGAACATGCGAGGCGACATGACATGTCCCAAGTCTAATGGTGAACATCAAAATTCCGACATGCGGAATGTGCTGGCAAGTGCCATTGGGAGCAACTACAACATACTACAACCAACGGTTCAACCCCTAGACCTCCAGTCGTACCTTCGTTTCCGTGGCACGGTGGCACATGGTGGCACTGGGCTGGGTTGATGCCAGGAGGGTCCATGTCATACCTTCGTTTAGCTACGACTGGAGCCCGATCGCAACTATAACCCAGCCAATTCAACACTACGCCAGTCGTCTTCACGTCGGTCTCACCGGAGGACTTCGACCAGAGCATCCCTTCCATCCACATTGTCCAGCCCGAGGTGGGGCGGAGCGCGACGGTCCTCTCAGTCCCCGCGGTCCCCGCGGTCGTCATGTAAGGAGAATGTGTCGATGATGTGACTGGCTCGCAGTAAAGTGTTTTGAGTGGCTTTTAGGTGCTTCGATGTCTCAAGATGGTAGTAGATAGGATTGGGATTTTGGAGCCGCTTGCTTTTGCTAGTTTTGATTTGGATTTGTCTCAGGAGCTTTCAACAGGTGCGCAAGCACCTTCAGCAAGAACATGCCTTTGCGTGTACATATATATGTATATATATCAGACGCTCCATGTATGGAATATATGCCGATCAGTTGGGGTGGTGCCAGGGGGTTCAATGGGGCGGCATATATTCCAGTGCCATGGAGTGCCATATACTTTATGGTGGATGACTCGATCATGCAGATGACTCGATTCGTCATGTTTCAGCAGCTCGGCCTTGCTCGGCCTTGCTCGGCTGTCTCCGCACCGAAGCGGCCCAGTTGGGTGGCTTAGCATTATATCATGCCCTAGGCCCTAGGGATCCAGTCGTACCTTCTCAGGTGATCAGAGGCACTGTTATGTCGGTGCCAGGAGGGTCCAGTCGTACCGAACCTGAGGCTCGGTACGACTGGATCCCTAGGGATTATGACGATCTTGGAGTACCTCATCGATCGGCTATGAATCCCTATTCGGTGCGTAGCTCAAGTTGTCAAGTACAGGGGTTCTCCTCATTATGATTCCCTATTAAAAGTAAAACATTATACGTACCCATATACATACAACTCATACGATCTACTGATCCCAGCCGCCAGCAGAACTGCGCTCCCAAAAACCACTGGAAGGTTTGGGACATGCGCTCCGATTTGGATTTGTCAGGCCACCGAGGTCCAGATCCATGAGGAGAGGATCTGAGACCGTCAGGAGACGCGGGTGACAGAGCGCGCGAAAAACCGCGCTGCGTTTGCATGAAGAAGTGCGGCATGGTGAAGATGTTTTAAAACACTATGAAGAACATACACTTTAGTATTCACAAACGGGTAGTAATCATTTGGGTGAAGATAATACTAGTAATATCTAGTAATACTATTAACGGTGAGTGCTCATTTGGGTGAAGATGTATGGAGACATGTATATACATCTGAGAATATATACCTACGACCCCTGAAACCACCCCAATGTATCTCAATCTGCCAGTCCCACACTCCATGCTTGGGTGTGTAAAACCAAAGGATTTACCCGGACTATCTATTCTGACATCGTCTGACATGTTAGAGGAAGGACGAGCTCACGGTACCTGTCATGGAACATAGGCGGTCGGGTTTGCTCACCGGTCGGAGCTCAGGTTCATCCCAGGGGATCCCATGACCTGACGCTGACGAGAGTGTTTGCAGCTGAATCCTCCCCAAGGTATGTCAATAGTGGGAAGGGGTTTTCTGTTCACAGGTGGTATATCATGATGCTACAGTCTGTTTTCTAAACACCATATGCTTGAAATATCTGGAGCAAGTGGTTACCTACGAGTCCATACTAGATGGTTCTAATCACAAGAGTTTGTTGCTTGTTGCTTCTAGGTACATGTATCCTAGTGTATCAGGATGAAACAGCATGTAGCATGACCCTTTCGCAGATACAATGCACTTCGAAGATTTCTTGATCATTCTGCATATGTCCTTGGCCATGTCTCCGTACGCCGTCGTTGCGAGGACCGGCGAGCGGCTTGATGAGATGGGAGACCGCGATGCGTTGGGAGTCGGACATCAGATGGTCAGCTGTACTTACCTAATGAGGAAAGACATTTCATATACCAGGACACCTCCAAGGGGTGCCCAATGGAAGCCTAGGCCGGTAGTGTGGGGTAGTCCAGCCAGGACACCCCGACGGGAGGGTCCAGGTATGTAATATATTGTAATACAAAAAAGCACTGATCAAACATGTAAACTTACATTGACCCTGACGAAGTCCTGTCGTTCCTTATCTTTTTCACAGATCGTTTCTCTCCCATTCGGTCAGGCGGCGCGATGAGTCAGCTTGGCTCATCACGAAACCTACCTGGACCCGACTGACCCAGTACCTTAGAACATGGGACGTCTGACCCCATGACCCATACAGGTACGGTAAGTACGACTGTACCCATTTTCCGAGGGACGAGTTCCGGGTCGACTCCAGGTACCATGATTTCATCTGAGATCCATGTATCCACTGCCACCCCCGAACCAACCTGGTTCGGTATGACTGGGCCACCTCCCCAGGCGCCATAGTCTCCGTTCGCCCTCACCGTACTGACCAGGTTCGGTGCCAGAGTGCCAGTGCCGTGATACGTTGACCTGCCTGTCGAGTGGATGGCCTGCCCATACCCGGGTGGCGCATAATCAGAAAAGTAAAAAAAGCGTGTTTAATAGGTGAGAAGTCATTGTAATAAGATAGTAACCATTGTGGTTAAGTAATAAGTAATTGTAATTAAGTGTTTAGTTAACTAATAAGTAGTTGTATGAGTTTCCAGTGGATACCACAAATAGCTGCATATATCACTCTTAAGCCATAACGGTTCAACCGCTTCGATTTCCAGAGATGAGGACTTTCACAAAAAAAACACGACGGTCAAATTGCCTATGGTTCTGAAGCGAAAGCAACTTTCAAGCACCTGGGAGTCAACTTGGAGTCAACTGTTTCATCTTCGCATCCTTTCAGATCCTTTTTACTCCCTGGAAGAAACCCACACGGAACCTGGAAACCACTGGGTTGCAGAGGAAAACAGTCTTTTAAAGGTCCCTGCCATCAGGGTCCATGTTAATCTTTCCGGGTGCAGCTTCTCAGGTCTCCCTGGCCCTTTTTTGCCGTTTTTGTTTGGGGTCATCAAGGATGTCCAGACGTCTACGTACGCGCAGCGAAGTGCTGCAGTCATTCTCATGTTTTTCACTGGCGATGCGGGCGGCATTTGCTGGGTCAGTGATGCTGGCGCCAGTGGAAGCACTGACTTCCAGCAACACATGCTTCTATAATCGTCTATATATTTACATATATATATATATATACAGAACCTGAGCGACCTCTATTTTGGACCTCCAACCACTCAAAATATGGAAACCTATCCTGTCAAAGCCAAGGTCATGTTTGGATTCTAGATGATTCTAGGTATAAAAGCAGAGGTGTGGTTCAAATGGGTTCTACAGTGCGAGCTATCCCGGATGTAACTCGTTGGTTTCCATGGCATTCGATCGATCAGCTAATTGGATGTGTTCCTCCCGGTCGCCATTTGCCAGTCCATTTTCTCCGAAGGTCTATTCGTTTGGGGTGCAAGCCATTGAGTCTGCTGAACACCCCGGTTTCAGAGTTCAATCGACCCGGTTGCCTAAATTAGAAGGTTCTAACAAAACGACCTCATGAAAGACTGGAGTGGGTTTGAAAAGAAGAACGACTCATGCGTCTTACCTTATAAGTCAGTGAACGATTTCATTTACCTGGAGTTGGTCACAAAAAGGAGCGACTCAACGCGCCTTTCAGGACCAGCTGACTGTGCGTACACATGCGGCTAAGATGCAGGTGTCACCGGTCTTTTGCGTGGAGAACAGACAATTTTTCCTCCCCAAACGCCTTCATTCAAAGCAACTGCAGTTTAGATTTGGGTGCTTTGGGTGATAGAGGTAGGTCATAGTTCGAGAGTCCTCCTGCAGTAGATTCTTGGGAAAATTTATCCAATAGGCCAATAGAACATGCTGTAGGGTTGCTTCATATTTTATCTACTCCAGGATGCCAGGAGAAAACATCAATGATATCCGACCACCAAGGGACCAAGGGCCTTGTTTTCTCGGCCTGAAATTAACAGGCTGTTTTCAACACACAGCCAACCTCGTGGTTCCTTAAAGCCTGGATCTTCAATATGTTGCATCCTGACTCAGAGCCATCAAGTGCGAGTCAAACACAATGGTACCCTAAGAATCGGCAGGGGCCCTCCATGTTTCGGGGTCGGACCTTCTCCACCAAAACGCAGGGGTCCTGGCGCGAACCAAACCCTATTCATGTGAGGGCTGGATTCTTAGGGTACCTCAATGAATATCAACGCTAATCCCTATGGAACCACGGATCCACCGTACCGACCTGGTTCGAGGCCCGAGACAACCCTGGCGCGAAATATTCTCCAAGCCCTCACTGTACCGACGAGGTCGGTATGTGGATTCATAGGGAATGTGAGCTAAACCCAGACCATCCATGCGGGAAGATGACATGTGACATGAAGGTACCCTACATTAAATTCTACATATTTATACTATATAGATATCAAGGGTTTGCAACAGTCGGTCAAAGACGATAGCTCTCATTGAGAAAGGTCAGTATACTTACCATCATCATCCAATGTTACTGGGAGTGGGATATGCCTAATATGTTATCCTATAGATACTAATATGACTTTTGATATACAAACATAGGTCAATGATCGATAGATAGATAGATAGATCACCCTACATCTCAACGGCATGAATCTTTGTTTTCTAGCTACATGCGTCCTGTTTTGGCCGGCAAGTAGGATCGACCGAGCAGGTGCCTGGGCGGCACCCCGTTAGTCGAGCGGGCCGCCGCGGCGACATCGCCAAATTGAATCTTTCCATCGTTGCCGAGAATCGAGATATCCGCAGCACAAAAAACATATAAAAACAGTCTAGAAGCATAGAGGCACCATCATGCATCTGTATTGAAAGACCTGTATGTCTACACTACACCTGTATGGATACACCGCCGACGGGAAGGGGAAAGATCATGTAGCAGTCGGTGGAGCTGGAGCAGTTGGAGGCAGTCACCAGATTTGGAACTGCTCGCATGTCCGATCGGCAAACACCCTTGCATGAAAGATAGGTGAGTAGGTCTTGAACTTGCGCAAGCAGTTGGTTAGATCAAATTTGCATGGAAGCAGTAGGTAGCAAAACGACCGGGCAAAACGGCCGGGAGTTGGTTCCCAAAAAGGACTCAAATGGCCAACAGGTCAAGACATACTTGGACAAATCGCGTTAGAAGTTCCACGAACTATTATTCAGAAGACATGCAGTTTTTCTTTTTCGCACGCTTTGTGTGATGCCATCCTACGCGATCCGTCACAAAATCCTACCCCAGCACTGTCCATCTTTGGATAATTGATGATCATTGATTCCTTAAGAGCCCCGAAAAACCCATGTGTGTGATGCTTTGACGGAGCGCGGTTCCGCGCGGCCACCAGGTCTGACGAACAAGTCACAACATGGAAGTGGCGCTCCAGACGCTCCAGACACCACCCCCGCACCGATTTCATCCACCACGTTCGCCCCGTCGAAGACGGCAAAAACGGAACGTGTTGATTCTAGTGCTGCCGATGCCTTGGCGGGCTGAGGATCGGCGGAGGCGAGGAGGGTTGGATTGTCTTAAGGAAGACAGGAAACAGTTTCTTCTGTAAAGAGGAGATCTGCTTGTTGGAAGACATGTCTTTCGAAGAGAGGACACATGTTTCTGTCAAAGAATACAATCATGACCGGCACGTTCAAGTTATGCCAAGGGCCACCGGTCATGGACGAAGAATTTGCAAAGGAATTGCATGTAGAGCCGAGGGCAGCTGGCGCGGAGCCTGACTCGCACCGTCCAGCATAGTTGGCGGGCACGTCGCAGCGCTTGGCCACGTCGCAGCGAGGGTGCCGTGATGACCTCGCACGATCCCACACGGTGGAGCGCTTCCGCGAGCAGAAGCAAAAAGCGGAAGGGACGCAGACTGCGGCAGGATTTCATGTGCACTCATTGATGAATGAATTTCGACATGGATTGTAAAACCGGAAGCTTTGCGGGGGTAAAGAATATACCCCACACGTCCAGTTCCCAGTAAAGCCTTGGTCAAACTCCTTGGGAGTCGTGTTTTTCTATGATCAACTCCAAAAATATCATGAGGTCGTTGACTTGTCAGGAATGGATGGACAGCCCCATTCCCAACCCCTAGGGATCCAGTCGTACCTTCTCAGAAGGTGATTGGAGACACTGTTATGTAGGTGCCAGGAGGGTCCAAGTACCTTCTGAGAAGGTACTTGGATCCCCAGGGAACATGATCGATTTATTCCCAACCCGTGGCAACCCGAACTGGACCGGTCGACGGGGGGAACGGGCCGAAGGGTCGAAGGGTCGACGTTCGACGGGTCGACCGGTTCACCGACCGATGGCTGGAGTCGATGAGACAAAAGACTCTGAGGTTTTCAGGACCAGGTTTTACTGGGTACTTGGAACTGACATTATAATAGTATTTATACTATAGTTATTAGCTAGTTTTAGTATATTTGTATATATATATATATACCAGAGGCTCATGGACCCGAACCAACTGCTACAACTATAAATCTCATTCCCTATGAATCCACATACCCTATGAGAGGATGATGTCTTCGACACATCTTCAGCTATAGGTTTGAGGAGGGATATTGGTCGTTCCTAACCAGGTCGGTACGGTGGTAGTGGATCCCTAGGGATTGATCACTATATACGTATATATTCCCTAGGGCTCCAACCATATCCTCAGAAGGTGGTTAACCCCCCCCAGGCACCCACCCCAACTACCTTCTCAGGAGGTTGTTGAAGCCGTATAGGGATTAATCATGCTTCATTGATTCGCATGAGGGCAATAAATGACAATGAACACCCTTGAGCTACCCCATTGCATGCAGTAGTTGCCACTGGTGAGATCCAACCCAAGGCAAGGTGCCTCCGGAGGTTGGTATACTTCATCAAGACCCAGAGGCGACCCGTTCGGCCCCGAACCAACTGCTACATGTTGGTTTGGTCCAAAACCCTGGCGGACTGAGGGTCCTTTCTGAGCCGACTGGGGAGTCTCCATTCTCCCCTCTTTGACCCAACCGGGGTCCGCGACGATCGCACACAGTCGAATCTCGTCGGC